GCTGCGCTGCGGGGGGAGGGAGTCGCTGCCGTGGCCGCCAGGTGAGCGCGGTATGGCCGGGCGCGGGGCCGCAGCTCCCCCGCTGTTCGGCGCGGCGGCGGCGGGCTCGTTGGCGGTGTGTGCGGTGCAGCTGGGCCTGGCCTGGGCGCTGGGCCGGAGGCTGGGCGGGCGCTGCGCCCCGGCGGATCGCTGGGTGCTGGGCTGGCTCTGCTACGACGTGCTGGTGCATTGCACGCTGGTGAGTGCGGGCCCGGGGCTCAGGAGGGAGGGAATGGCCGGGCCCATAGTGCGGGAGCGGGAGAGGAAAGGGGGCTGTTCTGGGGTTTGGGGCTGGTGAGAAAAGGGGGCGCTGCAATGAGGAATGGGGGGGACGCGGCTTCCCTACCGCAGCCCAACACAGGCGGGTGTGAACCAGACCCAGCCTGAGGCATTTTGTCAGAAGTACTCCCCCCCCCCCCAACAAACAAAACACCGCTGCCCTCCGCGTGGTAAATACACCCCCATGTCTCCGCTTCATTGGCAAACTACTCTCCTGGCACAGACGCTGCCTCCCACTATTACACCTCAGTACTGGCTGTTCAATATTTCAGCCGCCCGCAGACACAGGCAGTAACTCCAGCTGTCAGAGGGCCGGGTCCTACTTTATTACTGGCCATGGTCCTATAAATCTGACTACCCTGGGCAAGAGTTTGGAGACACCATGGTTTGCTGCTGGTCTTACAAGTCCTCAGTCTCTTCAGTCACTAGGCTTCAGGTAGGATTTGATCAGTTTTACATTTTAAAATACTTCATTCTGCAGCAGCCAAGTCAATGCGCCCACTCAACAAGCTGCACCCACCATACCGGACAAGCGCGCGGGGGAAAACTTGCTGCAATCTTTTCTTCACAAGAAAATTAAAAACGCCTAGTGGTGGTCGAACTGGTAGGCTGTGTCATCTTCTTAGGGCTTTGTAGTTGCTCTGTCAGTTTCAAGTCAAAAGTCAGAATGATTTGTTTAAGGGATGGATAGCTCAGTGGTTAGTGTGTTTAAGGGAGAGATAGCTCAGAGGTTTGAGCATTGGCCTGCTAAACCCAGGGTTGTGAGTTCAATCTTTGAGGGGGCCTCTTTAGGCTCTGGGGCAAAATCAGTACTTGGTCCTGCTAGTAAAGGCAGGGGGCTGGACTCAATGACCTTTCAGGGTCCCTTCCAGTTCTATGAGATAGGTATATCTCCATATATTAATTGATTAGACAAACTTCCTGAGAACTCTGTTGTTCTTCCACAGAAAGTTTACTGCTTCACTTGATATTACAGATAAATCCTAACTCTTGCTGAAATTTAGAGGGTAGCTGAAAACACTCAAGTAAGACTAGTTCTTGTATCCAGCCAAGCACTGGAAAAATCACTATGTGTTTGAGATTTGTACCACGTATGTCTTTTGTAATCAAACAGCCTTTCACTTGTCTCAGGAAATCAAAATGTTATATTCAGCTCTTTTATCGTGTCTGAGACCAACCAAAACACATACAATCAGTTTCTCTGTGCTTCTGTAGCACATCATGACTTGCATCACTAAGTCCTGAGACAGAACCATGAATCCAAGCACTGTTCAATATCTTACGGGTAATGGGTCACTTCAGCAAATGCATCTTGCCCATAGCACATAATTATGTCCTGATTTTCAAAAGTCTCACTGACTTCAGTGGGAGCTGAAGTTGCTCATTACCTTTGAAAATCAGGCTGTGAATGTGCAGGGCAACACTCCATTTAATACTGTGGACAGATTTTTATAGAGTTCAGACTTGGTTGATATCAATATTTTACACATCTTTAACAAAGCATCCAGAAAACTTTTCAGCTGATAGTCAGTTGCTTTCACAGAACTCCACCTGCCATCCTACTAGTTCCAGAATGTGGCTTTGATCTCATAGCAACATGCTCCTTTAAGATTTGCTAGTGACATGGTGAGGAAATGCACAGATTGTAATGATTGAGCAATTTCCAAGGAATGTTATCCATCACTGTCAACTAAGTTCAAATTATGAGCAGGCACATGGGACATAAATATCTGAAGAATGTTTGTTTATGTAAGCCCGCACTGCATCTTTCAGTGCTCCCCTACAGCCTGTACTGGGGGCCATGAGACTGGGCACTGCTCTGCTCCTCTCCTTTCTTCCCCACAACCTGATGATGTTAACTCCCATCCCTTCCTTCCTTTTGTTCAGGGCTGAATTACTGCGTGGAAGAGGTAGTAAGGGGAAGCCGGCAGTCTTCTCTGAGTTCCACCTACCCTGTTCTAGGCTATGTTTTCTAGGTATCTGAGTGCCTTCCACATTAATTGGATTGGCAATAACATAGTCCCTAGTGGACTTTATAGAATCTCTTTCTCTCTCTTCTTTTTTGGGGTTATAGAAATTTCTGCTTGTGGAGGCAGTTGTTGTTCTGAATATAGATTCAGAGATTCTAAGGCCAGAAGGGACCATGGTGATCATCTAGTCTGACCTCCTGTATAACACAGGCCATAAAATTTTCCCAAAATAAACCCTAGAGCATATCTTTTAGAAGAACATACATTTAAAAATGGTCAGTTATGGAGAATCCACTGTGATCTTTGGTAAATGGTTCATGTGGTTAATTACTCTCACCTTTAAAAATGTATGCCTTATTTCTAGTCTGAATTTGTCTGTCTTAAACTTACAGCCATTGGATCATGTTATACCTTTCCCTGATAGATTGAAGGGCCATTTATTATATATTTGTTCCCAATGAAGGTACTTACAGTCACCCCTTAACCATCTCTTTGTTAACCTAAACAGATTTGAGTCTATCGCTATAAGGCATGTTTTGTAATCCTTCTTGTGGCTCTTCTCTGAACCCTCTCCAATTTATCAGCATCCTTCTTGAATTGTGGGCACCAGAACTGGACACGCTATTCCAGCAGCAGTTGCACCAGTGCTAAATTCAGAGGTAAAATAATCTCTCTACTCCTACTTGAGATTTCCCCGTTTATGCATCCCAGGATCGCATTATGTCACCTACAGAAACTCTTTTCTATCCCTTCATTGGCTAGGAAGCATACCTTCAGCCCTCTCAAAACCCCCAGTCAAACAGATGTCTCTTGCTGTATGACCAAAAAGTCATCAAATTTGGGCTTCTTTGGACCAAGGTGAGGAGCAAATTCCAGAGTCCTGGAGCCCTCACAGAGAACGCCCTGCCAGCCTCCCACACTGTTATAACAAAGGAGATCTCAGCTTGAGCATCTCTCCTGACAGCAGCTGTGATGGCATGGCACAGGGAGAGAGGCGATCCCTCGGATAGGCCAGTCCCACTGCTTAGAGCTTTATGGGTCATAACCAACATCTTAAACTTCAATCAGAGGCCAGTTGGCAGCCAACACAGATCCTGGAGCACTGGTGTCATGCTCCCAGTGTGAATTCCCATTCAGTGAGTGAGCTGCTACGTTTTGAACCTGTTTCGGTCTCCAAATGGTTTTCAAATGTAGCTCCACCTAGAGCACAATGCAATAGTCTAATCTTGAGGTAGCAAAATCCTGGATAACAGTTACAAAGTCTGCATCCAAAAGGACAGGTCAGAACCTCCTAACAAGTCACAGATGGCAAAAAGCTGCCTGGGTTACTGCTGTAATGCTGTTGACATACAGCAGCTTGGGGGGGGGGTGTCTAAAAGCATCCCTAAACTGTGGACCCTATTCCCTAAAAGGACCGTTTTTATGTGTGCAGAAGTTTTCATGCTCATTCAGTGCTTGGCACCTCTGGTGAAGGTGTAATTTGTGATGGTTTTGGGGGTAGGTAACAGATTAAGGTTCCTTGCTCATTCCCTGTAGACCTCCAAACAGCAAACTGATTTGTAATAAATTTTCAGTTCCTTGCTGATCTGGGTTAGAGTCAAACCAAAGGCCTACAGGTGAAAGGTTCCCTATTTCATTAGTAATCCCTTGAATCGTCTCATTCCCTTCCCCTCATTCCTCTTTCTTGTGCCCTCAGAGCCTTTCCACTTTCTTGGACTGTTTCATCAGCTGCCAATAGGGGTTGAGCTTATCAACATTCAAATAAAAACCTAAAGATAAATATGAAAGATTAGATCTTCATAAAAAGAACGAGGAGTACTCGTGGCACCTTAGAGACTAACAAATTTATTTGGGCATAAGCTTTCGTGAGATAAAACCTACTTCATCAGATGCATGGAGTGGAAAATACAGTAGGAAGATATATATACAGAGAACATGAAAAGATGGGTTGCCATACCAACTCTAACGACTCTAATCAATTAAGGTGGGATATTATCAGCAGGAGGAAAAAAACCATTTGTAGTGATAATCAGGATGGCCCATTTCAAACAGTTGACAAGAAGGTGTGAGTAACAGTAGCGGGGGAAATTAGCATAGGGAAATAGTTTTTAACCTCAGCCGTGCAGAACACAATGCCATCCACAGCCTCAGGAACAACTCTGACATCATAATCAAAAAGGCTGACTATCGCTGACAAAGGAGGTGATGATACAGACTAACACAGCTACCACTCCTAGATCTTCATAGTGATTGCTGCTTCTCAGCTCAGTGCTGTCACATAGTGGTGGTCCTTAAGAGCTGAATCAGATTAAGTCTTTGGATGGCACACAATCAACATCCTTGCCCATTTTGTCTGAATGGAGATGGTACTGTGTGAGATGCATTGGCAGGAATGGTAAGTAAACTATTTGATATATATGGCCTGGATCCTGGCTGATCTGATGCTAAAGCACACTGCTGCTATGAGAAGCCACCTGTCTTCTTGTATGGTATGTCTGTCTGTCACGTCGAACGATGATGTCCTGGCATCTTGTGTCTTCTTGTATGGTAGCTCAGGCCCTGAATTCCTTCCCTCATCTCTCCCAACAGAAAATCAGTCTGTTCACTAGAGTCGTGCATTTAAAATGCAGGTCATATTTCAGTGTTACTAGAAGTTTAATATTGAGATCAGGTGTTTTTTTTTTTCATTGCTTTTGTTTCACAAAGAGTACCAGTTGCAGCATATAAATAAAATAAACCACAAGTGAAATGGCTAGATCTGTTTTAATGAGGTCTGATGACAAAGTGGGCAATGGGTTGACATTGTTGTGTTGGGATATATACACCATCCTGCCTCTGAAGGGATTAATGTGGGCCTGAAAGGCCAATTAACCCACCTTGTTGCACCTAGAGAGTGGGCCAGGGTTAATTAAAGCCCAGCTGAAGGAGGAGTTGGGTGATGACTATAAAGAAAGGGAGTCTGGAGCAGAAGGGAGCTGTAGGGAGAAACTCTCTGGAACTAGAGAGTGGAGAGGTTAGGCGGGCAGAGGAGGAAGCCCAGGGAGAAAGTTGGCCCTGGAATCCTTCCCTAAGTAGAGAAGTCTGGCAGGAGAGAGACAGAGCAGTACGGGAGGTGGAGCAGGCTACAGTGGTGTGCCGCCCTGATAAAAGGGCAAGGTGTGGCAGGTGAGAGAGACCTGGCAGGTGTTCGATGGAGGAACAGAGCAAGGAGAATTTGAGACATGAAAGGCCAATACTGAGGAGGGCAGAAGTTGGTTTAAGTTTGTACTTTTGGAGTGAGATTTATTAGGGGATTCCGGGGAGACTCTTGCGAGTCCTGGCTCTGAAAAAAGGGTGAACTTAGAGTGGCTGTGGAAGAGACCTGCTGACAGGCTACGGTAGGAGGAACTCCAGGGAGGCAGCAGAAGGGAGTCGCTCGACAGAGCAGACCTTGGCTGGAATCCACTGTAGCAGGGCGGCTGGGGTT